GAGAGAGAGAGAGTCCCTTCTCACCGGGTTGCTAGTAAAAATCGCGTGAATATTTGATGAGACGAGTGAATGCGCGCAAGCTCGCGTTTTCAATTGCGCATATATGCGAAAAATACTGTCATTAGCCCGATACGGAGGTGTGGCTCGCGGAAAGAGGGGAATGTAAAATCGTACGTTTGCCATACGGCACGAAGACGGTAACTATCATTCTAAAGCGCGAGCACGTGTTCCTCCGCATCAATTATTTCATTTGAACCGTGGCCACTGTGACGAGAAAGGTCCGAATTGCGCACTACGTCAGAATTCTAAACTTCAACCCCAAAATATCCCGCACGTGGAACATCCGACATTCGAAATTCGAGATCGGAGGGGATAGAACGAATTCCGCGAATATTGCCGGACATGTGTGATTCACTGGATAGCAGCGTGGTTTTATTTTGGTCGGCGCTTCTCCTTTTTTTTTCCCCCCGAGAGCCGAAAGTTAGTACCGCGTGTTCGTGACTACGAAATTAAGGGAAAAAGTTTGTTGCCGCGCATCCCCGCGGCCGGTGCACGTTTGCATGCAAAGGGTAAAAGAAAGAGAGAGAAAGAGAGAAGGAAAGGTCGGACCGAATGACCGGCGCGGGTGAGGACTGACAAAACGTGGCGTAAAGAGTGTTCTCCAGCCAAAGTTTCGTCGCATAAAATTACGAATTTCTCGAAATAATTGCAAGGGGAGTGATAGATCGAATCTACGAAACATACGTGACTCGTCTTTGTTCAGAGACGACACACGTTTCCTCCGCCGTACGAATTTCGTTGACAAAAAAATAATCGTTCTGCCGTCAAACTTTTTCTCCTATTCTACGAAATTTATTTCGTAGTCATTCGCATGCGTCGGTGGATATAAAATCGAAAGTCATTACCGATATTATATTAGATATTTAATATACCATATTTATTAAATTGATATTTAAAATTAGAGATGAGCGAATAATTCGAATCAATTTTATCAGAAAATATATGTAAAATCAAATAGGAAATATTATTGAGTACTAAAATCTTGCTATAATTATTGTGAGTCTTTTCTCGATTTAATTGAAAATATTAATTCTTAAATATTTTTAGAATTATATACATATAAAAAATAATGGGCTTAACGCTATATCAAATCAAATGTTGATTGTGTGCAAAAATCATTTATTTTATTCAATAATATCTAGTTTTTGATCTAATCATATTAAATATAAATAAATAAACTAATAGATTTTTTAGATTTTTTCACTCTTTCCAAATTTGCTATAAAAATCATTTTGCATATCGTTTGCAATGTAATTCCGGAAAAATTCAACTCAAACTCACTCGTATTCGAATCGAAGAGATTCGATTCAATTCGATTTCGAACATGTTATTAGATTCAATTCAATTCAATTCGACCTCGTAAATGCTTAATTCGCTCTAAATAAAATATAATTAATTAATTATAATTTCTATAATTTTAAAAAGATATATAAATTTCATACATAATATTAGATCGTTAAATGATGTACTTTCTGTTGTTTTATCATTTCACGCGCCATCAGGTGATCAGGTGCAGTAAACGAACATGGGAATGTAGTGACATGTGTTCAGGAACCAGCCGACTATCAGTATATGTGACCTTCGTGTATAATTGATTTAGAGCAATATCTGCTTGTCATCTGCTCACCTCGCTAACTCACCCCTTTTACATCTGCAAAAATAAACTTATCCTAACGGCCCATTTTAAGAGATAAGATCTATTCATAGTCTTTATAAATATTGCTTCATAATTCTAAAATTTAATCAATCTTATTTATCATTATAACTTGTTTTTTTTTATTTGCATTTTAAATAAAAGAATTGAAAAAGGGGGGTTAAACCTAAGTAAAGTGTATATTTTAATGTATATATCATAATCCCGCGGAAGAGAGAAAAATCATAGCAAATGATAAAAATAGATTTTATACAGTTATATATAACTTTTAGATAGGTTTATGTAATTATGTACTAATTATACATTGCACTGATTGGACACCAGATGACGTTGTTCAACCATCCGCGTCAACCTGCTAGCCGACCACCACGGTGATTCGTACTCCGCATCGTTTCCAAAACCATCTGTCGTTACTTTCTCATGGATGACCTACGCTCGGGGATGAATCGTTTTAAAATGCACAGTGGTCTGTTACATTTAAAGGCCACATGTTTGTTGTTTCACACGAGATGAAATTAGCATGCTTCACGGTAAAAACTATGAGAATCGATACATTAGCGCAATACGATCGATCGTAGCACTTCAATAGATCTCGACAGATATGACATGAAGAGAATATATGCATTATATAAATTTTTATTGCGTATACATATTTGACCGTCGGATCTAACGTTGTTTTAAAACAACGCTGTGAAGTAGAAGTTATAAATTCTTCAAAGGTTTTTGTTCCTGCATTGAAGATAAATACGTGCAAAGTGTGAAATAAACGGCAGTTTGAAATTCAGGTAGAAATCCTAAAGTCATTGATATAAAAAAAGGAAAAGATTAAAACTTTAGAAAACTTTCTAAAATTACTTCAAAAATAGCTAAAAACTAAAGAGTAATAAAATTATACAACAAATTTGTGAGGAAAATCAAAGTAACATTAAATATTTTATGTTTTTAAGAAATTCAAAAAATAAGAAAGAAAATTTTCTTAATTATTACATTGAACTTATCAGAATAGAAACAATTTTCATATTCTATTAACTAGATAAATGCAAAAATCGTTTCCTTTTCTTTCATCAAAATTTAATCTAAATATATGTTTAAATGTAAAATATAATATATAATGTTTTATATATATATATATATATATATATGTGTGTGTGTGGGGTGGGGGGGTGG